AGACCCTAGCCTGTTAGTCTGCACTTACCTACTTGAGTCAATCTAGTTATCAGTGGTTTGATGGGTAGCTTTCTTCCGACCTACTCCTACACCACAAAACATAGCTCTTTGAGGCAGTCAGTGGTCGGGCATTCGTAACACCTGTCCCGACCACCTCAACTGATGGAGTTTCAATAATTCAACTATTGGTTTTCCATCCCTACCAAGTACTCGTTTCCTAACTATAGCATTGCTTATTCGGCTGTCCCAGGATGTACGAGCAATGCTTCGAAGACACTAATCGAATACTAATAACCGACGAATGCGCTGTACTCTTACCGGTTATGTTTCGCATCCATATAGGAGAACGGAGCGAACTGCTGCGCAGTACACCCGTCCTTTGGTTAGCGAACGGATATTTTGTCTGCGCCATAGGTGACGCAAGTTGTCAAAAGCCAATCGAGCTTTCTGTATCCATGCTGAGATTTCGTCAAAAATCAAACCATCAGCACTGATGAGACTACCAAGATAAGTGAAGTGGTCAACACGCTAGACTGCTTCACTCTCTGTCATTCGTTTAGGTGCCGAGGCAAGTTAATCTTAAAGCAACATTTTGCATTTCGAGAGGAAGAACGGCATCCTGAGCGTGCTTGTATTGTTGCCTAGGGTAGGCAGCGTCTTCACTGAATAGGACTGTCATCAGCTTATTCTAAGTCAGTAAGTGTTTCTCCTGTTAAAGGTCCACTGCTGAAGAGTCAGACGATCATGATCTTAACTCTAGAAGCATGTTTACGACAAAGTTAAACAAGAATGCGGGAGTGGACAGCCCTGACGGACACCACTTGAAGTAACTAATTCCGTTGACACTTTGCCATAAACTCTTACTCGACCAGTGGTGTTCGAGTAGAGAGTATGTACAAGGTTAATGTACTTCTTTGGTACACCTTTTGATGACAGACACTGCCACAGAACCTCACGATCAACATTGTCGAATGCCGCCTTAAGGTTGAGAAATACTTTTATTGTGGGGCGTCTGAATGTGTCTTTGTTCTAGGACCTGACGTAGTGTGAATATTTGGTCAATACATCCACGTCCAGCTCTGAAACCATCCTGGTTTCCTATAGTCTACTCACCACGAGCTCTAGTTAAGTGTCAAAGTATTATTGAGGACAATATATTAGAAACCATATTAATTAGACTTATTCCTCTGTGATTGTCGTAAGAGGACTTTTGTCCTTTCTTGTAGACCAGGACAGTCAGTGATTGAGACCAGTCGGGTGGGATTACGTCCAGTTCCCAGATTCTACCTAAGATTTCAGTCAATCTAGCTGCTAAAAAAGATTCGGAGAGCTAGCTTACGGTCACTTACAATTCAAGATGACTTGAGATCGTGGGTAACCGAAGTGTTTCTGAAAGCCAGCTGGACAGATCCCTAAAGTGTTCCAATCTCCTGGATTGGGAATGAATAATAGTGCCATCCTTTTCCGAGACTGTCTCACTTACAGTCGGATTCTAATACCAGTTTCCTTAATAAGTCGGAACAACTGTCTATTGTTGCCTTTCGCCTTTGCCTTTTCCATCGCTCTCACTTTCGCCACCCACCACTGTTCACGATCATTGCATAGATTTCTTATCAGCTTGCACTTGAACTTACTCCGCCCTTCGTCATGTTCAGAGCCAGGTGGGATGAGTTTTCTAGAATCTATCAGTTCGGCAGATGCTACTGAAATCTACGGCTTCTCCCTAACCTTATGGTTTACCTTACTAGCAGATATCACTGCTGTTTCCACAGCTTTTTCGATATCATTCCAAGCTACCTCCGGATGGAAATCACTTACATGGTCGCATAACTATCTTTCAAGTTTTTCCTGAAATATATTCACAGCTCTGCTATTATTAGGTAGAACCCTAAGAGGTTTCTTCGCTGTCTTTCCTACGTCCGGTAAGTCGCAAATACGCGCTCGCACTAGGGCATAATCTGAATTTAGACATGTGCCCTAGAACGGGCGACAGTCCTCTGTTGAACCTTTCCATCGGTGGCTGATAGCAATGTGATCTAGTTGGGTCTAGCGTTGGGACGACTTTGGGGATCGCCAGGTAGAAAGATGCATTTCTTTATCCTTTAAGTGAGTGTTTGCCAGGAATAGGCGGTTATCTGAGCATATTTGCAACAGAGGGTCGCCATTATCTGTTCTCTGAGCCGCGACACCATAACATCCACCAAGGTGTCTCTCCTGCTGACTTAGTCTACCTACTTGAGCATTAATGTCATCAGCCATTATTACTATATTAGAGTGCCTAACTTTTTGGAGGAGGTCCGAAAGCTTTCTGTACAATTCATTTTTTACATCGTCTGAACTGCAGTCAGTGGGAGCGTAGGCAGATGCGACGAAGAGGCAATGGCGGGTGTCCCTATATTTTCGAGTGCTTACTGTCCCGTTTAGTCGGACAGCGCACAAGCGACTGACTACTGAGATCCAGTCTGGGAGAGCAAGTCCTGCCCTACGACTCTATGCTATACCTACACCAGTGAGACCCCGGGAAACAGCATCAGGACTTCTAGATACACGAAAGGTAAATCGAATTGCTACCTTATCTTGACTTGGAGAGGTCAAGTGAATAACGCTACTCGGATCTTGTATGCGCGTCTCGTGAGCTCGATTCGTTTGCATTAGCGCTACGGGGTGATAAAGGAATGTGGGTGGAGTTAGTCGTGGAGATAAGAGAGATGTTAGGGGTGTAGGAAGGATTTAATTGCGGCCAATTTGGTTTCGTGTGCTGTTGTTACGGGTATGAGGGCGGTTGTCACTTCCCGGCTGCCCACACCGTGGAAGGGTGTTTCTTGGGGACCCTGAAAAGGAAGGTAGATTAATGTTGGTCTTAGAGACCTGGGAGCGTGACTGCAGAGCCCGAAGGACAACTGCTTGAGGCCGGTCACGCACGGCCTTTTTATGGGTAGTATTTGAAGTGTTAGCTATGTTTTTGTTTAAAAGCCCTTACCGCCGGAGAAGGAAATCCATGAGGTAAGGTGAGGTGTGACATTTTTAGGGTCGACCTTTTATAACCCATTCCTTCCTTGTGAGAAGGCAGCATCGCTGCAGATGCTGGTTGTCCGAGGGAAACACCTTACTGCTGTCACACCTCTCTATAGTCAGCAGTACGACACCGCCCTCAGTATTCTTCAACCTACTCTGTCTTGGACTTCCTTTTCCATTTCTGTCCAATTTTTGTTCATTCATATCATGTCTGTCTCCATTTCCTGAAGTTATGTGTTCCTCGTTCTTCCTCTTTTCCTTTTAC